AAATAATATACTTTAAAAGTTCATACTTAAGTGAACGGAGGCTTTGAGTAATACAGGCGGGGGGAGAAAAAAAAGTTGGACAAAAGCACATTGTTGTTGTTACATTAATCTGGATACAAGAATGGGAATTTTCCTCCTCATTATGATCACACGCTGCTGGGCAAGCGGCTCCATTTTCTTCCCCCACCGTGCCCTGGCAGCTCGATGCATCCCTGCTGAGGCGGCTTCCTCACCGTGATGAGTTTTTGACAGGCTTTACAGCCGTGCCAGGCCAGACAGTGGCTGAGCAGAATGCTGGCAGTTTTATTAATCTCCACATCTCTCTTGCTCCGTGCTTTTGAGACGGACCAGCTATCACATAATTGTTATGCAAACTTCTTAGAGCAACAGTTTGTTTAAGCACATGTGGACTATTATTTGAAACTACAGAATTTTCCTCCAGATCTGGCAGAGTTCTGGATCGTCTAGAGAATAAACATTATCTTCTGCAGGTGTAAACCCCACTCAGGCCGATATTATATAGTTATTAGAGCTCTGAGCTAAACATACAACTACAATTTCAGCATACATGTGTATCAAATTACCTATAACACTTTCAAGATGATTTAGCTATTGAAAGGAACGGCAAAAAGCTGAAGCCACTAATGGCGACAAAACGATGCTGAATCATCTCAGTGAGCTTCACATCAGTAAATTGCACTAAATACCAAAATAATAAATATCTGATGGTCGAGAATAATTGCATTAAAAACCTCTTCAGACAAAATATGAACCCCCTCAGTCTAAATGATTGAATGATTGGGTTTTGTTCAGCATGTGAAACACAGAAGCACTGCTGCCATCTGCTGTCTGTTCAAGGAAAACATTTTGGTTTGCCAAGGTATTTATACATCATTTAAAGGGGTCCTATTATGCTTTTTCACTTTTTTAATTTTAGTCAGTGTGTAGTGTGTATGTTTGGGCATAAAAAAGATCTAGAAAGTTACAAATCTCAAAGTCCACTCCAAAGGGAGATATTAGTTTTAAAAAAAATAAATTTTCAAGAACTACAGCAAACGGCTCGTTTGGACTACAGCGTTTGGTTTCCGGGCTTTGTGATATCACAAAGCGGCTCATTAGAATTTCATTACAAAGAATTCCCGCCTACAGAAATTGGAATGGTTGGGGGGTGGGGAGGGGCGAGGTTGTGGTTAGAACGCTTGGTTGAGTGACTGCATAAGATGAGACGACGACGAAGAAGTACTGCTGCTGCAGAGTAAACCAAGAAGAAGACCTGCTGTGCTGTAGCCTCAAATTTTTGACATGTCTAGAACAGCGGTTCTCAATTCCAGTCCTCGCGTACCCCCGCTCTGCACATTATGAATTTAAATTGTATTTATTTACAGAGGTATATTATGTCCCACTTCACGCTTCTCTAGTAAGTTTCGTTTGTGTGTGAAGACGCTGCAGGCAGCGGCTCAGCGCAAATCTGTAAATGAATATTCCGAAGGGAAGTAAACTTCAACGGATTTCCCCTGCTCAGGGAGTAGGGAGCAATGGACACTGTGTAGGGACCATGTCAATCGGAACACAGTTCATACACGGAGCTCACTTCTAATGAGATGATGATCTGAATCAGGTGTGTTAACAAAGAGAGATGTGCAAAACATGCAGAGCGGGGGTACGCGAGGATTGAGAACCGCTGGTCTAGAACAGTTCTTACAAGTACAACACGACGTAGCTGGGTGCCGTGGACAGACGTCGAACGGCGCCACCGGTGTGCCTACACTCATAGAAAATAATGTGTTAGTATTTTTAAGCCGTGGCGCGACGCTGTGCTTCTCGTCCGGTGCGCGACCGCCTGAAACGCTGTTTTTTTTCACTTCCGAAAGCGGATGATGTCAGGAAACAGTGGTTGCAATTTACTTCTTAACTCTGTTCCTGAGCATTATAACCCCAATTTGCTATTGTGTGCTGCGCATTTTACTGAGGACAGCTTCCACATCACGAGAAGTGCCGGATTCGCCAAAAGCTTTTGTTGAAAGACGGAGCAAGGGGCGTGGCAGTACTGAAACATTGTCTAAGCTGTTCGCCAATCACAACGCACTGGGACAGCTAACCAATCACATCTAGTTTTTCGGAAGGTGGACCTTCATCAAAGCCGGAACTAATCGAGCCGTTTGTAACAAGATGGGGAGAAAGGTATTTTAATACTGTAAATTATGTGAAAAATAATGCGTTTTTCGAACCACCAAGCATGAGAGCATGTTCTAGTACACCCCAAAAACAAAATCAAGACTTTGTAAAAGAGCATAATAGGACCCCTTTAAGGAAAGCACACATTTAGAATACAAAGTTGCTAAATAATATAGATTAAGGTGAAGCTAGAAGCATGATTATTTAGCTACCGTGTATGATATATGTGATTTTTTAATTGAACGTGGTATGATAGCAGAATCATGGTGTTCAATCTTCAATCAATAATTACCTTAAAATGCAATGTAAATAACAAGGTACGACAATATGGTAATCACTGAATACCATGATGTCTATCGAAGTACTATGGCATTACTATCTGAAACAATCAAGGTGTCATGGTCCACAATATTTTTGTCAGGGTTGTTAGTCAAGTCAAGTAATAAAGATAGCAGAGACAAGCATTCCCACTTCTTTTTGTCCACTTGATATTCCTGTCATTGAACTTATTCACATGGACTTGATGAAGGAGCAGATGCGGCGTCATGTCTTTCCTGATCATATGACTGCATTGCTGGAAGACATCAGGAATGATATAAACAGTGTTCCTCTCAACAGCGCCCTCATTCGCAACATCTCCAAATCTAATCACAGAATGCAGCATTAATCCAGACATCTCTAGTGCAGCCTGCAGTCAATATTGAGGTTTCTCATTCAAGCACTGACATACCCTCTCCTTCCTGCATTACCAACCTCTGTATCATAACCACTTAAATAAAAGATTTGAAAGCAAATATATTGATTCAAAAATTGATTCACTGTCATTGTCTTAATTAGCCTATATCCGGTAGTGAAAATAGGATGACTTTTAGGGAAGTTCTGTGTACAGAATCAAATGGGGTGGGGGGGTATATATTACATACATTTAAGTGACAACAGTTTACTGCATTTCATTGTCTCTGTACTTTTTCTTTGCACAATGGCAAAGTTGAATGTAATCTAACCTAAATTTAAAGTGGTTCTCAACCAGGGGTCCCACTAGGGGGCCTCGACAAACTTTCAGTAGGCCCCAATAAGATTTATCACTTAAATGAGTCTATAACTTAAAATATTATTAAACAAAAACATTAACAATTAAAGATATACAACATTAAACAAAATATTTAAGTTTGTTTAAGAAGTACAAGAGCTACATATTAGATTAGATAAAAAAAAGGGTCTTCAAAGATTGTCTCGGACAAAGGGAGCCAAACATTTCTGCATTAGAGTATGTGACCTGCTCTGAGTCTCATTAGAGCTCGGATTCACTTTGAAACTGGATCTAGAGTAGACAGAGAAAGGACTAGGGAGAGGAACAATGACAGATTTATGTCTCAAAGTAGTGATGAATCAAAATGCCTTTAAAAAAGATTAAGTAACAAGAGAGCAGAGAAATGCATTATTGCAACTTTATTCTACCCTGCATAATTAGTTCATATTCTCTACTTTTTTTATTGGCAAAAAAAAAAAAAAAAAAAAAAAAAAATTTATTTATTCCTTTCCCAACTAC